GGAGTCCCAGAATCAGTGGCGACAACTTGGAACTGGAAAGTTTTTAGAGTTTCAAAGTCGAAACTTTTCAGTGCCACAATTTCTCCGGTCTCAGAATTAATGCTTAAAAATGAAATCAACTTGCTGTCCTTGCTTCCCTCTACACTAGCATGGTACGATATACGCGCATTCTCATTTTCATCTTTGTCAAAAGCTTTGACAGAAAACACCAAGGAACCTGGTTTGTTTCCCTCAGTCACATAAAAGTAATATGGACTTTGTGAAAATTCTGGGCCGTTGTCATTCACGTCTGACACCAGGACGCTGATTGTTTTTTCAGATGAAAGTGAAGGATGCCCTTCGTCATTTGCAGTTATTTTCAGGTCATATCTTGACGTTTTCTCTCTGTCCAGATATGATTTGGTTACTACTGAAAACATATTGTCTTGCAATGATGCCGACAAAGCAAAAACAATCTCTTCACTTATCGTGCAAATAATTTTTCCATTAAGAGCTGAGTCCAAATCATTTACACTGATGAGCGCAACGGTGGTTCCTGGTCGAGAATCTTCAGGAATTAAGCTTGAAAATGAAGTAACTTCTATCTCCGGAGCGTTATCATTAATATCAATTATTTTTATGACGACAGTTTTCTCAGCTGTGAGTGGGGGGAGGCCTTTATCCGATGCTCGAATTTCTATGTCATATTCCTCTTTTTCCTCAAAGTCTATTAAACCTTTTACTGTTATCTCACCGGTTAATGAATTAATATCAAAAAGATTTAGTATATTCTTACTCACACTGTTGCTAAAGGAGTAAATTACTTCTCCATTTGGACCTTCGTCTAAATCAGTTGCTTCAACCTGTATAACTGTCGTTTTTATTGGTGAATTTTCACTGAGCATCACTGAATAAACATCTTTTGTGAAAACGGGCACATTGTCGTTTACGTCCAAAACATTTATTAAAATATTCATACTACCGGATTGAGGAGGTTTACCTCCATCCACGGCCGTGAGTGTCAGTGAATGGTTCCTTGTTGTTTCTCTGTCCAAAGGTTTTTGCACAATCAAAATCGGTAGTTTAATGTCGTTTCTTTTATCCTTAACCTCCAGTCGAAAATGTTCGTTTTGGCTAAGTCTATACTGCTGCACGGAGAACTGACCGCTGTCTGGATCTTTTGCGGCGGTGAGCTGAAATCTTGTTCCAGGCAACACGGATTCGGAAATCTCCATAGTGGTCTGGTTCTCTTGGAAGCTGGGAGAATGATCATTTATATCCAACACTTCAACCCTAACGTAATGCACTTCTAGCGGGTTTTCAAGCACCGTTTTGAGATTTATTAAACACGTACCGCTATCTGAGCACACCGTCTCTCTGTCGATCATTCGGCTCACGTACAGGTTCCCATCGACTTGATTCACACGAAAGAGGGGATCAGCATCACTAGACACTACCCGATACTTTCTGTCACCGAGTGTGCTTTTGTCCAATCCCAGATCTTTAGCGACATTTCCGACCACAGTTCCTTCGTTTATTCCCTCAGAGATCGAGTATCTTAATTGTGCTGTAGCTAACTTCCACAAAAGCACAGCAGAGAAGCATGCAAATAAATATCCCCGTGCTCTTCCTGCCGCACATTTCCTTTGTCCCATGGTCAACCAAAAGGCAGTAATCCACAACAATCACACGA